ACAATATCAAGAGATGAAAAAAACACCAAAAAAGCTCCAATATTTTCTACATACAATACCAGTAATATGGGGTTTTTGAGCTAAAAATCGGGTTATCTGTGTTTGACAATAACTCAATCTATTCGTTATTCATGTTAGAGCATTATGTTATTTTGGGTTATTTTGAGAGAGAGTCTACCCTAACCCACTAAATTGGTGTCATGCTTGTTTTATGTCAAAATTATCACCCATGGAGCACGTGAACATTGTTTATACTATATACTATATAATTGTAAGTTTTATATGTAGCAAAAAAATAAGGAGAATGGAGATTGTAGCCCCCCCAAGCAAATAGGAAGATTTTGTGATAGTAGCTGCCATAGGCAACAATATATGCAGCCCTAGCGCCACAGAATGACATGGGCAGTGAGTGCCCTATGTTAAGGTTTCGATGTGTTCTATTGCTTAGAGTGGTTTTGACAAAAAGGAGATGGGGGGAGGGGAAGTTGATAAAACTGCAGTATTATTAATCAGTAATACTAAAAAAAGGAAAGAAATTGAAATCTTGCTTCAAAATGAAAGGGCTAGAATTAGATGCTACTTTTATAAATCACTGTCAGCCCTATATTGTATTTTAGGATTGATGATGAAGGGTTTAAAAGATCTTCAGAGGCAATTCATCAAAATTTTTAGACAATATTGAGGCAAACCCTTTTCTGGAAGCATTATCCACTAATGTACTGAAAAATACTTATCTAATTTAGTCTACCTTAACGAGGTTGCCACGCGGAAGAGATTGGGTATAGACATAACCTTTCGCATTATTTTGTACAAAGTGCCTGCCTTCATTTTTCAACCCACAGCCTCATGGTTCGGGCCAAATTTTAAACACTAAACTAGTGGTCCCCTGAATTGTTATCGACTAATTTACTGTTTGGAACCTAAATTATCAATGTTTTAATTGCTAAAAACTTGCAAGACATATATTCTTAGTGATTAGTTTGGCAAGTGACGGTTGTAACCACATCACCCCCTCCATTACTGTTTTTGCATTGGAAGTATGACACGTGGAGTTAGGGTTGGCCATGGGCTGTGCCGAGCCAACCATGGGAATTGCAGCCCAATCACTGGTCCAAGAATGTACAAGCATCCATATTTTCATTTGAAGCAGTCAGCAGTACGAACAAATCTCCACAAGATTAAAAATACAGGTTTAAAAGCAAAACTAAACAGTACAACTGATTCATCTTCACTAGTTTGTTTTTACTACCTTCATGCCTTCAAAAACAACATCCTTAATTTTGCCACTTGTTTGGTCATAGGTCCGTTTATTAGGATTGTATTTGTTCGCAATTAGAAATTTCAAAATGATATATTGCATTAAATGAATTGCGAGCCAAGGTTTCAGGACCAGGCTCTGTCGACCAGCCAGAAAAACTAGCCAAGCCCTAATTTTCTTAGGCAGCATGACAACTCCAAGTTGTGGTCCCTAAAATTACTAATCTAAAAAGCATTATTCTTTTTACCTACAAAAATCGTTACTTATTTTAACTGCATTAAGAACTAACATTGTTCTGTTCTTGCTAGTGATGGCTGGACCTCGCTTCCATAAACACAAGTTTGAGTTTCTTTGTTTCATCAAGAGGAATGAAACTCAGACCATATTAGAAACTTGTATGTGGCATTCATTACTCTAGTTATAAGGCTTCACTTCAATTGTATGCTTAATTCTTACTTATTATCATGTGTTCTCAATAAAATACATGCTGGCAGCATCTAACTACACACAAGGAAAGCCAAAACAACATAAGGTGAAGCATCTTACACTACTTTCTCCGGCACATCCTTTGGCGAGAATAGTGGTGGCACTAAAATCATCAAATCCTCCTGCTCCACGTCCATGAGCCCACCCTTCTCTGTAAAGGATGAAAAACAACAAAATTAGCAGTTGGCACGAGCAATTTCCAACTTTTTTTCCAAATTCTAGAGACCATGAAAAATGAAGGTCTAACCAAAGTGTGGTTCCACTTCAGCCCAATTTCTCTTCTTTCTTCGGGCAAAATCAGCATGAACAGAAATAACATGTTGGTAATCTACCATTCCTTTATGAGCAAAACACATTTTCAGAGAATGAAAGAAAAAAGAGCCAACAAAAAGTCAACTCAGATTGTGAGAGAAAAGACAGATGGGAATGGTAAAAGTAGCAACCCTCCAAAAAAATACAAATAAGTCCTCTCTAACCATTAAAATGATAAGCTTCCGACACTCTAGCAATAATATCAGCAGAAAGATTTTCTTGCACTCCTTCAGGTATCTGCATTTTGACTTCTGAAGAAGCAGGAATTGAATCACTATCAGCTTGACGTACTTCTTGCATAGTTTCAGTTAAATCAGGGCAGCAGTCCTCTTGCTCTACATTAATCTGGTCCACTGACATACCCTTTGTGAGCCTGTTGGAGTTCTCAGCATTTTCATCATCCCGAATTTTCTGAGTTGATATTTTCAACAAATAATGTTTGCAAGGCTGAAGCTCCCCAAAGGCAGGGTGTGAATATGGATCTTCAAGTCGGAAATGGAGCTCCAACTTGTTTGACTGCGAACTACGAGCCTAAAAATAATGCCAAGATATAGATTGACATGTCAACAGTGGAAAATACAGCTTTTCATAAAATTTAGTCAAGAATTCAACAAATAGGCTGAATCGTAAAGGATTCTCTACAACCTAAAAACCTTAAACCCATATGCATGTGAGCAGTCTTCTACAGTTACTTCTTTGTACAGCCATCTCAAATATCATAGATATGACAAGGAAATCAAATGAAATGGATAAGATTTGCAACTAAGTGCAAAAGTGGACAACAAATTTCACTTCCTTTTGATGAGTTTAGAGGAAACACCTATACAATGTAAATGTTATACTAGCTCGCACTCATAGCTATGGTCCCAATGGTACAAGCATTAATGGTCGATAGAGGTAGGTAACCAGTAAAAGCTAACAAAGTTGAGAAATTATGTGTGTCCAAAAACCCTTTTGACAGGATATCTATCCTTGCATTGCTCTAATGCTTTGTTGTTATGGAATAAATTATTTAATATTGCATATTTGAGTTGGACAGCTCCTAGATCATCTTCCATGGTTTGTTGAGATATTTGGCAATTTTGGAAAAACAAAACAAAAAAAAAAGAGGACCACCCCATAATTGTGGTTCCCTTGATATTATGCGGTTTATTGGGCTGGAAATGAATGCTAGAAATTTTTGTAATAGATGTGGGGTGGTGGAAGGATTATGGTAACGAAGTTACTTCTTAGCTTCTCTGGGGCTCCAATCACTAGGGAATTTCAAGGAACTTCTCCATTTTGCATCTTGGAGGGGTGGACTTTGTATGATCTCTAGTATGGATTCTTCCGTTCTTTTGTCTTTTTATGTTTCGAGTTGGACCACTTGTCTGCCTCCCTTCTTCTAATATAATGTACCGAACACTTATCTATAAACTGTTGGTTACTTATCAAAAAAAATCCTTCGGACACTATCATCCAACTCAACACACACTCTTTTTGTGGATAGTTCACTCGTGAAGCAAGCACTATGAAATCCAAATACTGTAGGTATTTCTTTTTGACAATTGAAGCTGTAATTTCTTGGCAGAAAACATTACCCCACATTCAAAAAATTCATATATAATCATGTGTACAAACTAAAAGGAAAAATACTACAAAAACACATGAATAAAGTTGTATTAGCATACAGAGAGCCCTAATGCGATCTAAGCAAACGCCTAGGGCACACATATTGAAAAAGGCCCCTGAATAGTGTTTGGCATCCACCTATTCATCCTTAACTATCTCCTTATAATATTCCCCCAATTGTAAAAACTGTCAAGAAACATTCGGTAGTCTCCCAAGACTCTATTATTCTGTTAATTTTTTTTTCTCTTTTTCCCAGTTGTGGATAGCATTCTTACCCTCAGTCTCTCTAGTTTATTTTTTGTTAGGCAAATAATGTTTCATAATCATACTATAATAATTTATACTTATAGTGATAACTTGAGTCGTCTCTGGCATAAAACCACTAAAGGGATGATTTTAGGCTCTACATATAGAGAAGACATCATATTCATATACACTTTATATATAACTAGACTAGAAGTCTAAGCCACACAAAAGTCTAAGGGTACAAAGTAAACCTCATAAAAGTCGGAACCCAAGGACAAAAAATTATAAGCTTAGACAAAAAAATTCATTATGAAATAACATAAATCATACTTCACTATTTACTTCATATATTTTACCTAGCGGTGATACAAAGTCAACAAATAGTCATATTTTATCACAAAGTAAAACAAAATCAAAATGGTCGTCTTTGCATATTTTTTCTTCAAATAAATTAGTTTTTGCCGGTAAAAACACAGAATTGAGAAACCTCATCAACTGGAAGGCCTCATATAATGCTCTCTCTCTTTAGGCCATACCTTGACAATGCCTTCAACTCCACCGAGAGTCTCAATAGCGCGTACCATAGACGAAGGATAGGCAGGATAGTGAATTGCAAACACCTCATTGCTAGGTAGGAATCCCCAAATTGATCCGTCCTTTATGATTCCCATTGCTATCCTGTTAACTAAATAACAGAAAAAAGACGTTTATGCATCTGTCTGGGTGGGGTGGGATGGTGGGGCTGTGTGTCTGTGTGTGGGAACCATAGCCCCTCAACCTTAAGCCGATGAAACACACGCACACGCTGAGAGAGAGAAAGAAAGAGAGCCCAGAACCCAATTACCAAAAACCAGCCCAAACAACAACATTAACCTCTCAAAATCACCAATTTTTTAGACATACCCAGAACCCAAAAAGAAGGAAAATACAAAATCAAAGTAAAGAAAACGGGAACAAAGAAAAAAGAAGTGCACATACCCATTACAATTCTTGACGTGATCTGGGTGGTTTTTGGGTATTCCAATTCAAAGTCGAACTGCGTCAACGCTTTGGTTGATGGGGAGATGATTAGGGTTAGAATTTTGTTATGGGTACTATAGCGGCTTCGAGGAGAGAAAACCCACAGATGATAGTCGCCGGTGGTGCCATAAGCTTCACAGTGACCGGTGATGCCGTAAGTTATGAAGAGAGGAGGACAGAGAAAAAAAAAAGAGACTTCACAGCGAGAAAGAGAAAGATTGATGGAGATTCTGCGAGAATGGCTTCTTCGGATTCTGGGTTCAAAGCTTCAAGGAGCAGACTCCATCGTCTTTTTTGGGTGTGTGTTGAAAATAAAGAGACAAAAAAAAAAAAAACCCACTATTTATACCTCCATAAAAAAAAAGGGTGAAATTTTATTTTAACCCCTTGTGGTTTGACCCATTTGCACATCACCTCCCTCAAGTTCTAAAATAACACTTAACCCCTTGTGGTTGATGGACCTAAATGCACTGTTAATTTTTTTATCTATTTTAACGGCCATGTATCTCACGCGCATGCTAAGCGAATTGGTATAAAAAAACATTACAAATAGACAAAAAAAACCCTCAATAACTTTGTCTCCTCATCTCTCTTCTTTCTTCCCTCTTTTTTTTTTAGTTTTTCCTTTTCTGGTTGGGTCCCTTCTGCTGCAAACACCAGCATCTCTGCCAAAGGGCCAAATCCACTCCAAAACAAAAAGATTTACCTTCGCCGCCTTTTCCGATGGTCAGTACAATGGGTTTTCAGCTAGTATCAATATGGAAGCGTTGATATGTGACCTGAGGAGATGCGGTTCCAAAGTGGTGGCAGAACTCATCACCGCCGCCAACACCGAAGGCCACCCATTTACCCATGTGGTGTACACCACCCATTTCCCATGGATTGGACACACTTCTTGGGGCTTAACCGAAAATTATTTTGGATATCCACTACTAGCAGCAACAAACACCATCAAGGTGGTGGGCTGCCATGGGTGGTAGCAGTAGCAAAAACCCAATTGTTATGGTTTTGATTCTGATTTTTATTTTCAATTTGATTCTAATTTCAATTTATTTTTTGATTCATGTTTTTTTTTTTTGAAAAAAAAGAACGGAATTGAGATGTTGAAATACAATTTTTGAGTTGTGTCAGGTATGAATTGAGAAGATACACCAGCCTATATGGTGTAGGCGGTGGGCTGTCGTGGGTGATGGAGTTATGAAAGACGAAATTCAGGAAGGGCTGATATGTCGGATTTAATGGTGACAACGATGATGGCTAGATTGCCGGGGTTATTTTGGGATAATTTTTTTTTAAAGTTAAAAGATAAATTGATGGGTATTAAGATCATTTTAATGTAAAGAGCAATTAAAAGTAAACAGAGTTAATGGTGCATTTTGATCTATCAACCACAAGGGGGTTAAGTTCCATTTTAGAACTTGAGGGAGGTTATGTACAAATGGGTCAAATCACAGGGGGTTAAAATGAAGTTTTTCCTAAAAAAAACTCTCCGTTGTTAACAAGATTCGAAGTATAGATCTCATTAAAAAATTTTGAAACAAAATCGACTTCCTTCTATTTTGGTTTGTTTTTGAAACATCATTTTTTTTAACTTGTTTATTGCGAAGAAACAAATTAAGAAATGAGGATTTACTTCAATCGAATGAAGCAATCAAACTAAAATAAAAGTTCTGAAATACCAAAAATCAGAAGGTGATTTTGATTACCTGAAACTCAAACAGAGAAAGTAATGGCCGAGCAACTTATCACACGCAAAGAGAGAGAGAGAGAGAGAATTGGGGGAGGTGTGATAAAACTAACGACTAAGCGGAGAAATATAAAAAGAGCATCATTTTGCGTTTTGCACATCCGCAATACCATGTTGTTTTTAAGCCACTTAACAAGCACCCAGAGTTTAAGATAATTTTTCAAAAAGAATTTTCTTAGTTTTGGATACTACATTATTAGTCCTTCTAATTTGGACTTATTTATATAACAAATTATCCCTTTTGTCCAAAAAGTAAGTACAAAAATAATTATCAAACATATTTTTATTTATTTATTTGGCAAAAATTTAAAACAAAAATAACAAACAAACAACCCCAAGTTTTCGGGAAAGAGAATACACATAAAATTTGATAAAATATTATAGTTAGAATAAACTTTGACATGGTCCATTAGACTTATATAATCTATTGAATACAGTGAAAAGACAAAGTCAACCCTATATATTATATACATGATAACACACTTTTGGATAAAAAAGTCAACGCAATTTATTTTTTAGTAGGTTCTCGCACTTGAAGATATGATGCAATTTGAATAATTTTGAGAAAGATGTTAGTAGTCGTTGGATGAATTTTTTTTAAATTGTTAAATAGACTTATTATTATTTTTGTAGGTATTTTTATTTGTATTGTGAATATTTTTACCACAGTCGTGGAACTATTTTATCACTTTTGTTGCTATATTTTATAAGTATTTTTATCATTATTATAATAAATATTTTTACTTTTATTTTCTTCAGCATCACAAACAAATGAAAAAAATACCCACATAAATAATAAATATCAATATAATACAAAAATAAAAAATAAAAATTGGTACCGTAGACAACTGTCTTATTTTTTGAATTGATTTTTCGTTTGAATGACAACAAAGTCACAGAAAATATTGTTGATGAAAATGTCATTATTTTGATCGGCAACACCTCGGAATGTTGAGCTTGTGAATGATTGATTGATTTATATGTACAACGTTCAATTTGAATTATTTTCTAAGCAGTAGGAGTTAGTTGACAATAGTAGTAAGGATCGTGTCTTGCCTGTCAATTAATTTGTTAATGTTTTTGCCAAATGGAGGATTCTCTTGGCCAGGCCTCAACCAACGTTGAAAAACCAAAACCAATATAACTCCAATTATATCGCGTTACATCATATAGCATCACGTATATATAATATAATATGGAGAGAGATTCAATTACTCGGGATATTGACGACATGAATTTAAGCTTAGGGGCATCAAATCACAAGTGTATATGTAAAAAAACGGCCAAGAACCTTCTCGGTTCACCAAATCTAATCCATTACCTAAAATCATCTTACAAGTACTCGAGTTTTATACATCAATTAATATGATAGTTAGATGCTCCCTTCCTTCAACAAGCCTCTCCGCTGAAGTGCTTCTCCGAAGTTATGTATAGCTTCACTTGGATTGACATCCGTGAGAATCCTTTAGGTCTCAAGAGATCTTAGGCTCATCAACTATCCTTAGAATGCACACACCATTGGGTTTGGTCTTCAACCAATCAAGATCTTCAAGACCAAGTTGTGAGGTTGGCTAGAATTTCTAGATGCTAGCGAGCATAGATTGGTCACTAGTAGTTTTCTAAGTTTAAAACCAAGGAAAAAACTTGACTTTTTGAGCACTAAAGAGAGGTATCCTAATGGTTTAAACTATGTTTTCAAAAACACAAAACGGTTTTAGAAAATCTTTTTAGTGAAAAAACCTAGGAGCCATACATGGATTAATCTCAACTCTATTTTAACTCTAATACTCCTAATTCTACTAAACTAAGGGATCATCTTAGATCTCTAGGTCATTACCTTTGTTCTAAACTTGAAGGTGCATTCAGAGGGCAAATGATGTAGCTTTGAAGTTTAATCTCCTCTCTTCAATGATGTTTTTAGATTTTCAATCTTTGTATCATCTTGACCATGAAAAAGGTTGAGATTTATAATGGACTCCACAAAATTAGTCAAATACAAACGTATGATTGATAGTGAATGGGAGATGAATAATGATTTTGGATTCCCAATTCTAAGAACTTCTTGAAAGTGTCATTGTCAAACTATTTGACATTGTTAGGCACTAGGACCTTGGGAACACCAAAGTGGAAAATAATAGATTTCCAAACTAAGCCCCTAAGCTTTTACTCCGTGATGGTAGCTAGTGTCGGTTTAGTAATAATTAATATAAGATTAGAGTAGATCAATAATTCGAAGAAGAGTAGAGTAGATCAATAATTCGGTTTAGTAATAATTAATATAAGATTTAATTATTCGACATAATTTATTATTCAAATAATTACAGATATAAGTTAATTTTTTTATAAAAAAAAATTTCTTTAAATATATTCACATGCAACGCATGTCGTGAATTGCTAGGAAGCTATAAGAATGTCAACAATCCAATTGTTGTAAAGCCTTGTCGAAATCTATCATCATCTAAATTTATAGTAAGTAAAATAATTTCATTTTCTATAGTTCACTTTGCCAACAGATTCATTAGATACTTCTTCTCTAACAGTGTTTCTGTCTATATTTTTACCTCTTTGTTTTGTGACTTTTTTCACAGTCAAGCAGGATAAAGGAGCAGAAGACGAAGAGAAAAATCTGTGTAGGTTTTGGTAATGGTTGTTCCTGAGGCAGCTAGGATGAGCTTAAAAATGGGTTTGGCTTTACAAGTGTTATAGCAGGACAGTGGCAGTTATAGCAGTGCTAAAAGCATATACGAGAGGCAGAGGAAGGGTCAGCATGTTTTTTGTCAGGGTGGGAGTGCTGTAGGAGGAATTCCCCAATAAGTCAAGAGGTAATCAAACCAGTTGAAAGTTATCATAATAACAACAATAAAAATGAGCAAAAAAATAACAATAAAGAAATATGCTCCACCAGTTTAGCCTTCTTGTCCAACCATCCATGCAGTAGTTAGGATTAAGAGTCTAGTCATATTCCACAGAACATGACTCATAAATTTCAGTTGCATCACTTGACAAAAATTTCAGTTATGTCTTCACTAGTATGATGAACATGTGAAACTGTATGAATGAAAAATAGATATACATTAACAATTATAAAGCTTATGAGTTATGAAAGCAAACAGAAAAAAAAACAAAAAAACAAAGAAGATCCAGGAGATCAAGGAACAATCAATTGCCATCTAAATGGAATAAATTGATGGGATTAACCCATGATAGAAGTTTTTGATGCAGAAGACCAGTAGTACATCTTACATGGGAAGTATTCTTCTGATTCAGGAATAGCTCCCAGTGTCAGTTTCTCTATTTTAGAAAATAAAATAACCGCAAAAATTTGAAGACTTTTAAAGTTGATCTCAGTATCCCAGTAATTGTAATGTATTATGAAGTAGTGACAATATTTAACAGCGTTAACAATGAAGGTAATCATGTATCCATTTTGGCACAAAACCACCTGATATTGGCTTCCCCTTTCAAGACTTGAACTATGCAAAAGAGAGTGAAATACTAAAATCGGTGGTATATGGAAGTGGGCTTATGGCGACGGTAGAAAGAAAAGAAATTTAGTTTACATATTTAATCGAGCAAAAACAAAAGTGCATCAATCAGGAAAGTACTGACTATTTATTGCATGTATGGCACCCAGAAGGAGGCTCATGCATCAAACTAATCTTAAGTTAGTGGGGAGTTACAATCCTAGAACAACAAATCTAACTATACCTTTACTGTCCCAGAGGATACCACACTTAGCACAGTGAACAAGGTCATAAGATAATGATGGAAATGGAAGCTGTCTTGAAATGAAGTTTCCAATAACTGCAGGAAGACCTCTCTCAAGGGCTAGCTGAACTTGGCTGCCTGTTAACTCATATGCCGCAATACAAACAGCCATTAACTTAAGTGAGATCATGTGAGCCCCAAAGCTACCAAAGCCACAGCCAATATCTAGTACGCTACGCACCTGTCATTAACACAAAAGAAAGCTCTAGAATACAACATACAGCGGTGCTGTAATATATGGTTGAAAGAGAAAGAAGGCAAATATGTACAGTACTTTGACAAGCAAGTATCCACTATCTGTAGACTACAAGAAGACATATTTAAAAAATACCAGCCCCTCCAACTAAGCTATCAATGGGGAACGATTGAAATAAAAGTAGATCTTACACCAACTTGAAGAAATTCGGAGTCACTTCCCAACCCTATCATTTCTGCAATTTGGCGAGAGTAATCTTTGACACCGTCAACAATCATTCCATCATCTGAGTGAAAAGCAATTTGATTCTCTTCTAATAACATTAACCTGTAGAATTTGCAGAAGTACATCAAAAGGGGGGCATATATAAAAATGCACTAGCAAAACCAATATGGAACCTTGAAAACACTGCATATAAATTTCAGTCACAGAGTCTCAAATAACTATTGCAAAGAAAACAGAGTGAAATTAACATTTCCCTAAATTCTATAACATCACAACCGGATTTCAACAAGAAAAAAATACCTTTTCGTCATGCTTCCAGAAGATAGGAATTGGTCTTTGGATATCTTCACATTGCCACTCCATATCACATCCCTACCAGCTGGCCAACTTAGGGGTATCTTATAGTCCTTAGGAGGACGAACCAAACAGTGTTGTCGCTCTCGTGATACTTCACAATGCCGATCGAACTCCTCACCATCTTTAAACCCAGCTAACAAATTCCTAGAGATATTATAGCAAGGCACATAATTTTCTCTTTCTTTGCCACAAAGAGTAAACTCCTTTTGACCAGTAGCTCCAACAGCCAGACTTCTTAGCTCCAAATAATCACTAGCCGCTTGCTCCTTTAGCCTTCTAGAGTTTGAATAAATGTCAGGTCTTGTAGTGGAAGTCACAGAGTCAAAGGTACTTGAAGAAGATGAACACAACAATCCAATTAGAACAAAAACACTAACAAGACAAACAAGTAACCAGTTGAGTGGCGGTCTGGGGCCGAAGATTAGAGACAGTTTATTAAACCAGGAGCTTCTCATGTCCAAATTGTGCAAACACCTTTAACAGATGACCCCAGGAAGAAACCACAACGTTGACCTATTGCTTTAACCTAGATATCCAAGAAACACAAGGACCATAACCTATCACAACAGATGAGCTCTTATATGTATTCAGGAGAAACTGAGCAATTCTAGAGGCAGTGAAACAACCACCCTCTTCCTTTATTGTGCCCCATCAGAGTCACTTAACTATGACATCAAAACCTTCAAGTCCACCGACTAACCATCCAAACCAAATTCCAAAAAAAAAAAAAAAAGCAATTCAGATGACAAAGTATCCCTTCAATGCTCAATAGAAATCGACAACCACTGGTGCAAATTCGAAAACTTAAAGAAATTGAACCAATCGCAAAACCAAACAATGCCAACTTTTTTATAAAACGAACCGCACTTTCTCACATTCCAACCAATACAATCACGTAACGCCAATTCAACAAAGCAAGTCCCTCCAGATCACCCTGCAAAATTGCATCAACAACGAATCACAAAGTCACCCCCATTAAGTCGATAATCGCAATTGACGCCGCATTTCATTTCAACAATTTAGAGTAGAATTACATTCAGATCTCAAAACACAGATCAAATCGAAAGGAAAATTATAATAGCAAAATTGAACCAATCACTGAGATAACAATGGCATATTCAAAAACACTGACTCAAAATGTAGTTAGGGTTTTGGCATACCAGGCCGTTCTAGTGGGACGTATATATGTATATGTATATGTACTTGTATAGACGAACGTTGAGAAAGCTCCGAAGAGTTCTAATCCGCCATTGACATGGAGAGAGAGAGAGAGAGAGAGAGAGAGAGAGAGAGAGAGAGAGGACGTGCAGCTTTTGGGGGGTTTAATATTCAGATCCACTGGCTCGCAGAATTAGATAGAAAATTAATGGTAAAAGAGGAATAATTGTGATATTTAATGTTTCTCCTCATCATTTGATGACAACCCAAAACAACCAAACACTGACAACATTTACATTGAATTTCACACTCAGATTTAACCGCGCGCCATACGTGTCTCTATCACTTATTTTTCTACTTGACTATTTTACCCCCCAAAAAAAATTGATATATTCCTGATAAATTTTGAAGTTAATCTCAATTACCTCAAAAGATTACTTAAATTTTATTTTATGTTTTTAAAATTTTAAAATATTAATTTATATCTTAATATTCAAAAAAAATTATGAATATTGAAATTTACTGTTGTTCATTCCGCTATTAAAAAAGTTTAGACTAATTATAATTGAACCATCAAAGTTTAAATATTTCATATTTATAATCCAAACCAAACACAATTTCATCCATTAATGTTCATTGAATAGCTTTCAATTGTCGTGTAGTAAAATTTTTGTGTCATGTTTGTATTTTTATGATGACTTTAGGTATTTTTATCATTTTATAGAATTATTTTTATCATTTTTCTTTGGTATAAAAAAATTATTATTTTTGTAGGTATTTTTATCTGTATTGTGAATATTTTTACCACAGTCGTGGAACTATTTTATCACTTTTGTTGCTATATTTTATAAGTATTTTTATCATTATTATAATAAATATTTTTACTTTTATTTTCTTCAGCATCACAAACAATGAAAAAAATACCCACATAAATAATAAATATCAATATAATACAAAAATAAAAAATAAAAATTGGTACTGTAGACAACTGTCTTATTTTTTGAATTGATTTTTCGTTTGAATGACAACAAAGTCACAGAAAATATTGTTGATGAAAATGTCATTATTTTGATCGGCAACACCTCGGAATGTTGAGCTTGTGAATGATTGATTGATTTATATGTACAACGTTCAATTTGAATTATTTTCTAAGCAGTAGGAGTTAGTTGACAATAGTAGTAAGGATCGTGTCTTGCCTGTCAATTAATTTGTTAATGTTTTTGCCAAATGGAGGATTCTCTTGGCCAGGCCTCAACCAACGTTGAAAAACCAAAACCAATATAACTCCAATTATATCGCGTTACATCATATAGCATCACGTATATATAATATAATATGGAGAGAGATTCAATTACTCGGGATATTGACGACATGAATTTAAGTATTATGCGTGTACAGATCTTAGAAGATTTGTATATAATATTTCAAATATCAAAAAATTTAAATGATTAAGTGACAAACTTCAAAAAGTCGAAATATAATTCTCCCTATTTATTTTGCTGTCAAACTTGATTAATAAATCTATCACTCTAAGCATTGTAGCCAAACAGTAATATAATATTAGTCCGGGTGGTTGTGTGCAGTGGACTAAACCTAATAACTCACGGGTTAAAACACAAGATAACAAGTGTGTGTAAACTGATCTAAATACTCCTAACTGATAAATAAAATAAAATAAAAAAGAACAACATAACACAATCAATAATCAGAGCACAATGCAAACTTAGCAGAGACAACCACCTTTCTTTGTTCGGTAGGATAATACTAATTTAACACCAAACCAGGAGATGTAAGTAGGTACCAATTGCCTAGGAACCCCTTAACACCCAACCTTTTCCTTCTTCAACCAGTTCCTAATTCTCTATTCAAGTAATCCACAAACATCCTCTTTGCACTCTCAGCATCCGAAGGAGGAGGTGGTCCACTTAAGCTAGATTGCCCGGTCAATTTGACAAATGTTCGTCTTAGCCTTCGAAGCTCTGGCAGCCCAACTGATCTTGTAATATTAATTGTTGGTAATCCTGGACTCACACAAATTCCATTTACAGGCCCCCCAAATGCCTGGGACTGTGCTGCAACAATAACATTAATTACCTCTTGCGTCGCTCTATCCATCTCATAAAGAGAGTTTGACTCAGAAAACCTTGCATTTTGTGTCGCTATTGTTGGCTGTAAAACTTTAACACCCATTGTTTTCGAGTCTACTTTTTTCGTCAAGTATGAAATAGCGTCTACTATGGCAACAGAGGATTTCTCTATACAATCTCTAGCTGGCCATAACTCAAACAATGGTGAATCCCATCGATTTCTTCTATCTGGTTTCTCAAACCTTCTCACCAAATCTTCAAATATCTTATCATCATAGGCAGGTTCTTCTTTCTCCCTGCGTTCTTCATTCCATTTTCTACACTCAGTCTCTTCAACTTCACAATAAAGGACACAATATCTAATTCCTGCAGCACGAGCTAAACACCATAACTCGTATCTGTAACCCTTGATACTGTTTAAAGAATCCACTACAATAATATTATCTTTCGACAAAGATCTATCAACTTCAGATCTAAGTACCCCCCTTAGATTCTTCTCAGCCACCATGTCAGCATAGCTTTCGTTGCGATCAAGATGAAAGGAAGTTTCGTTAATGATCCTGACTGCTGGTTTAGATTCTGCGTCTTTGAGAGCTTCAGTTAGACAGACCGCAGCCGTTGATTTCCCACTACATGGTTGGCCACAGATGACTACTAATGCCATTTACAGAAACTGGATTGCTTTGTGAGTCACTGAGATGCTCCTCCTTTGTCTGTTCCAGATAGCAATGAAGTATATTAAGGAGGGCCTTATCTATCCAAGAAAGAAGCTTCCATACCGAAGAAAAATAGTAAGGTATAAAGTAAGAGATAAAAGTGGTACCTCATAACTCACACTAAAGCCATATTATGATGAAACAATAAACCTCAGGTCCTCAATACATGTTGACTGACAATTGGTTTAGATGTCTCTAACACTATTCGAATTTATAAAGCAACACCATGGAGATATGGTAACAATTAACAAATAAATGAAGCAGATAAAACAATGGAAAAAGCAGTTAAAAGATGTATTAATATTGGGTATTTCGTGAAATTCAGGTAACTCAGAAGAGGAGAAAGCTATGGACAATGAATTTTATGTCACTTGTTCAGCTCATTTGGAAGGAGAACTATTGCATATTTTCAGACGTAATGCTCTCTTCAAAATTTGATGCTGGTCACAATTTTGAATCTTAGAGCTCCATTGTGAGGAATTTTGTGTTTTCAACTGGCGATTCTATAACATTTTTCAAACCCAAAAAACAAAATTTCGTCAACTGAAATCTATGTATAACGTACAAACTAGATGACTTATTAGCAAACTCACCTCCATTTTTTCATCTATGGAGTCAAATCTTCTCAGCAGGAATGAATAATTTATACATGAGACACAAGGAGTTCAGGAGATAAGGCTTAGATTAGGCAGTGTTCATAAGAATAATAAGGATAAAAAACCTTCAGAGGCGTTACCGTCAAAATATTGAATCGTTTCAATTTCATCGGCTCTTTAGTTTCATGAGGTACATCCCAACAAAATGTAGACAAGTGGGAAGCTGACACTAACATACCCTAATTTCAACACGAAATGGGACAATAGTAGGACCTCTAACTTCTATCACACATACAAGAAAGTGTCAAATAAAGCTGGAGAACACCATTCCGTAGAACACCAGTCCGTCCCCCCGAGAAATGCTTTGGCGCTGTGGGAAGTGACCACTGGACCATGGATCAATATGTACAAGAAAGAATTTGATACCCTCAAATTGCGACTTCTACTATCCTTCCTCGTTTCATCAAACAAGTGGTGGGCACAACATAAGCTAGAGATTTAGCTAAATAAATACAGAATTTAATTCAGTTAACGCAAACAAGCTAATTGCGAAGAAACGAATTAAGAAATTAAGGATTTACTTCAATCGAATGAATTGAATACAATTAATTTAGTGTAAGGAATTACAAATCAACACAGCACAAATAAAGCAATCAAACTAAAATAGATGCTCTGAAGCATAAAAAATTAGAGGGTGCTTTTGATTACCTGAAACTCGAACAGAGAGAGCAATGGCCGGACAGCTTATCACACACGCAGAGAGAGAGAAAGAGAGAGAGAATTGGGAGAGGCTTGATGAAACTAACGACTAAGCGGCGAAATATAAAAAGAGCAGCCTTTTTGCGCTCTGCACAACCGCAATATCACGTCATTTTTAAGCTACTAGACAAACACCTAGAGTTTCAGATAATTTTTCAAAAGAACCCTCTTAGTTTTGGATACTACATTATTAGTCCTTCTAGTTTGGGCTTATTTATATAACAGACTATCCCTTTTGTCAAAAAAATTAAGGACAAAAAATAAAAAAATAAAACCCAATCTGTCAATGAATTAGGACCATCACCATGGGTTCACCACCGTAGAACACCATTCCGTCCCCCAGAGAAATGCTTTCGGGGTGTTGGAAGTGACCACTGGACCATGGATCAATATGTAAAAGAAAGAATTTGATACCCTCAAATTGCGACTTCTGTTATCCTTCCTCGTTTGATCAAACAAGTGGTGGGCACAGCATAAAGCTGGAGATTTAGCTAAATAAATACAGAATCTAATTCAGTTAAAGCAAACAAGCTAATTGCGAAGAAACAAATTAAGAAAGTAGGGATTTACTTCAATCGAATGAATCGAATACAATTAATTTAGTGTGAGGAATTACAAATCAACACAGCACAAATAAAGCATTCAAACTAAAACAAAAGCTCTGGAGTATCAAAAATTAGAGGGTGCTTTTGATAACCTGAAACACGAACAGAGAGAGCAATGGCCGAACAACTTATCACACCCGCAAAGAGAGAGAGAATTGGGAGAGGTTCGATGAAGCTAACGGCTAAGCGGCGAAATATAAAAAGAGCAGCCTTTTGCACGCTGCACAACCACAATACCACGTCGTTTATAGGTCACTTGACAAGCACCCAGAGTTTCAGATAATTTTTCAAAAAGAACCCTCTTAGTTTTGGATACTACAACATTAGTCCTTCTAGTTTGGGCTTATTTATATAACAAACTAACCCTTTTGTCAAAAAAAGTAAGGACAAAAAATAAAAAAATAAAATCCAATCTGTCAATGAATTAGAACCATCACCATGGGTTCACCACCGTAGAACACCACTCTGTCCCCCAGAGAAATGCTTTCAGGGTGTGGGAAGTGACCACTGGACCATGGATCAATATGTACAAGAAAGAATTTGATACCCTCAAATTGCGACTTCTGTTATCCTTCCTCGTTTCATCAAACAAGTGGTGGGCACAACATAAAGCTGGAGATTTAGCTAAATAAATACATAATCTAATTCAGTTAACGCAAACAAGCTAATTGCAAAGAAACGAATTAAGAAAATAGGAATTTACTTCAATCGAATACAATTAATTTAGTGTAAGGAATCACAAATCAACACAACACAAATAAAGAAATCAAATTAAAACAAAAGCTCTGGAGTATCAAAAATTAGAGGTTGCTTTTGATTACCAGAAACACGAACAGAGAGAGTAATGGCCGAACAACTTATCACACCCGCAAAGAGAGAGAGAGAGAATTGGGAGAGGTTTGATGAAGCTAACGACTAAGCGGCGAAATATAAAAAGAGCAGCCTTTTGCAAGCTGCACAACCACAATACCACATCGTTTATAGGTCACTTGACAAGCACCCAGAGTTTCAGAAAATTTTTCAAAAAGAACCCTCTTAGTTTTAGATACTACATTATTAGTCCTTCTAATTTGGACTTATTTATATAACAGACTGTCCCTTTTATCAAAAAAGTAAGTACAAAAATAATTATCAAATATATTTTTATTTATTTGTTTGGCAAAAATTCAAGGGCGAAGGAGGTTGCTATTCTGTTTTTTGCGCCAACAACACCTCCAGAGGCTTCATCGCAGAAGGGTTCATCGTTTGAATGTTTCATAGTCTTGAAGGCTTCATCGTCTTCATCCCTCTTGAGATCTAGCTTCATCGCAAAAGGCACAAATCTCAAACCCTCTTGAGCTCTGAAAGTGTCCCTCTCCAGGTATTCTTGAGCTTCATCACAAAAAGCACAAATCAATCCATTTTTTTTTCCTAAGATCAATCACCAATATGTGCCCGTTGCAATGCATTCTACTTGTTTGTTGGATTTCCTGTGAACAATTCAGTTATTGTGACATGTTGGTTTTTAAGATTTTGATTTCTTATGTTCGGATGAGTAAGGGATTTTTGATGGATTTTTATAATGGGTTTTTGAATATTGGACTGTTGGGTTTAGCTCTTGTCTCAGATGGGTTTGTCTCATTTTTGGATTTGGTAAATTGGATACCTTAAGGATTTAGTCTGACTCTGAGGTTTTGGCACTTGAGTTCTTGCAGTTTAGATTTATAGTTCTTTGGAGTCTGATGGAATTTAACTGATTTGGAGAATTGAAGTTAGTTGTTTCTTCAATTTGTCAACTGGGTTTTGATTCACACGGGATTGTTTGAGCATGCCTAATTAGAGCATTTTCTACCGTTGAACTTGGAATATTTTTCCATCTGGGCTTATCTGCTTTCAAGTTGGTGAATTGGTGCCTGTGGGTTGTTTATCATATTGTTATGTACTGTTTGTCTAGTTATTATTGGTTGTGGTCTACAGAATATCAATGACTCCATTATGTTTTGGCTCTGAAAGAAGAAATTGGTGTATGATAGTTCATTAAGAATGGCAGTCATTGTGTTGATTATATTGTTGGTGGTGCAATTGCCAGTATGTAGAACATATTTCTGAGATCATATTATCTAAGATCATTTTTAGAGAAGGCAAATCCCTCCCAATATATTTCCATAAATTAAATGCATCCAACATTATTTATAAATTTCTGAACTCCTAATAAAATTTTGGAACTTACTCCTTGGCATCCTGATAAATGCAACATGATTAAATTTTGGAATTTTGGAACTCCTGATAAATGCATCAAGTATATTCTCTTCTTTGTTTTCTCCTTCGTTCAACTTCTCCTTTGTTCAACTTCGTCAGCATGTGATGTCATCAATAAGGTGATGACATGACATACTACATAATATTTTAGATTTTAATAATTAATAGTTAGTTAAAGTTAGTTGAAGTGGTTAGCTAAAATAGATAACGTGGTTGGAGTGAATTTAAAAAAGTGGTTAGCTAAAGTAGATAATGTAATAAAAAAATATATTTTTGCTAGCTAGTTTACATAGTCTCCTTGGAGTTATATGCATGATAACACACTATTGGATAAAAAAATCAACACACTTTTTATGTTTTAGTAGGTTACTGGAGGAAACTCGCACCTGAAGATCCGGTGCAATCTGAATAATTTTGAGAAAGATGTTGGTAGTCGTTGGATGAGTTTTTTTAATACTGTCAGATGAACTTATTAAAACCTACTCTATTTTATACTATAAATATTTAATTAGTCAGTTGTCTTATGCACGTTCATGTTTCGTAAGTATGTTTCGATAGACATAAAACAAAAATGTTGTATGTTTGTAAAAACATGTGGAATACTTTGGAAAAAATTATTTTTATTTTAATCAAGTTTTTATTTTTATTTTTGTTGTTGTGTGTTGCAATTTGAATTTTCATGTGGGTTTGAAACAAGATTATTCATAATTATAATTACTTAGAGCGTATTTGAATTGCATCTCAAAAAACCATTTTTGAGAAAGAGTGTTGGAGTTTGACCTAAACTCTTCTACATTCTTATTCATTATTTGTTTTATTATTAAAGTTTTAAATAGTTTTAGATATCCTTAGTTTATAAGGAGTAGGATTATTTTATTAGTAAAATTAGGATTAGATTGTTTTTAATTTTAAGAGACATCTTGAAGTCTTTTTCTTTGGTTATACCCAAAAGATTACTTATTGAATAGAAAAATTTTTGTTGCCGCAAGTTCTTGAGTTCAAGAACATTCATGCCGACGATGTTTCATCTTTTATGATTTCTTTATGTGTGTGACATTATTTTGAGTGTTTGATATTTTGAAATCTTACATTTTGTATCAAAGCCAATTTTAGAGATAGCAAATAGGAACGAGTTTGTTCAATGTTCGATTGCAAAATTTGACGGGAACTCAAATTTTCAACATTAAAAAACACAGATGAAATTGTTTTTCAAGGTCATAAATTTTTTTGATATTGTAACAAATGGGTTTACAGATTTCGGAGATCTACCAACTCATACAAAAACCCAAAAGGATGAATTGATAATTAATAGGAAACAAAACAGTAGTATTCATGTATATCTATAAAGCATTTGATTCATTAATTTATGATAAGATTGCTCATGTTTTGACAGCAAAGGCAGCATGAAATGTGTCAATCAATTGATATAGACAAGGTGAAAAAAGTTTGGTTGTAGAACCCACGCAGGCAATATGAGCTTATGAAAAAATCATAGTACATTTGATTATTTCTCGCGGATGTTGATTATTGTCAAATTAGATGAGAATCAATGGCGAGGATGTGCAGGATCTCCAGGCCGTTATGGAGAAAATTCTTTGAACCTTATCAATGAAGTTCGAGTATATTGTCATATCTAACATAAAGTCAAAAGATCTTGATTCTCTAACAATTGATGAGTTGATGGCTCTCTACAAGCTTATGAACAAAGATTAAATAAAAAAAACTGAGATTTCTAGAGAAGAAACCTTGAAAACTCATACAAGTTTCCAGAAAGAGAAAGATGAGTCCCACAATAAAATTTCAATCAAATCAGAAGTATCAATATTCAAATAATCAAGGTACGTGGCAAAACAGATTTAGAGAAGAAAAATACAAAGGTAATAATTATGGTGATAAATCCAAGATAAAGTGCCACTATTGTGAAAAATTAGGACACTATAAAAAAGATTGCTACAAATTAAGGAGACTCAATATAAGAATTATCATACTAAAATTGCAAAAGACAATGATGATAATTCAGAGGCTTTGTTTTTGACTGATAGTACAGTGGATGATGTGCAAAATTCAACAAGTGGTATCAGATTTATGTTCTAACAAAGAGTTTTATAAAAGTGTGTTTTGATATTTTCTAAGACGAAGAACTTCTATGGTTAGATGATTCCAAAAATAATTTTACAGAAAATATTAAAACCTGTTTGGATAGTAATGCTGAAAACAATGAAAACAGAAATTTTATTTGGACTGATTGCTTGATATACAATGTTTTCAAACGCTTAACTTGATAAAAACAAACATAAATCACACTATAGTAAAAAAAATTCATTTGTACCCATACATGAATATATTACCTGATTAGAAGAGACGTCCAATAGATCGAGGTCGTTTTCATCAATAGAGGACCGATTAAGGGTAGTTGAGGGGTCTCGTTCCACGGCCAGAACTTCTTCTCGACAAGCTTTGGGCAAACAATGAGAAGCCAGATCTGGCAAGTGTAAACATACATAATGAAAATAGATCATGTCCCAAAAAATCGAAAATAAATTCAAGGCAAAAAGAAAAAAAAAATCAGATATAAGAGCTCTATGGCTTACCTATGTCATCGGAGCTACGACTTCGGTTCACTGGAGTTGTTAAACAATAGATTTGTTATATAACAAATCTGAAGATAAAATAGAAAAATGAAAACAAATCTAAAGAAAAACAAACCCAGAAAAATCAAGGCAAAAAGGAGAAAAAAAAAACCCAGATCTATGGATTACCTGAGCCGTGCCTGTGATTCACCGAAGCTACGCCCGTGATTCGCTAGAGGACCTTGCAGGTTCAGTCATCTAAGGTGTTGGTGAGAGAGAGAGAGAGAGTGGTAGGTCTAAATGTCAGGGAGAGGGGAAAAAAAGGGGGCCTTTTTATACTGGTGCAATAAGTGCACAGTTTAGTGTTCCTCGTGTTTTCACAAATCTCATATGGGCTTCTCACAAAATTAGACAAAAACAACTAATTCTTGTTATCATTTATCACTTTTTTTGAAATTTTGTTTTTGAAAAATTCTAGTCAAACAACATCTCAAAAGATTTTAGTGGTTTGAGAACAAAAACTTGTTTTTGGAACACAATCTAAACATGCCCTTAATTTGTTATTGAATCTTCATTTACAAAAGGCTTGGAACATTCTTCATTCACAAAAAAGCCAAGAAGAAAATCAAAGTGATTAAACCATAAATCATACATACAGTCTAAAAAATAATAATCGCGTACTTCGGAGCAGTTTATTCAATCTAAAATATATATATATATTTTTGGGAGAGGGAGGGGGGGACTTGAACCCTTGACCTCAAGAAGACAAAGTCTTGATAAGATAAGGAATGTCATTGAACCAAAGGCCCGTTGGATTCAATCTAAAACATATTGTCTTGCTAATTTGCACCGACTTCGCCTGGCAACATTATGACTCATGGAGCAACGATTGCCATGATCCTCATCTTGAGTGAAATGATCAAAATATTATTTTTCAGTGAAATAAATGTCTGTCGGACTTTTTCGAATATGATGTGACTGCAAAGAACTAAAAACATTAGTACTTCGTGGTACGGTAGTAAAATCTGCATCTTTATTGCCGACAATTTTACCATTGATATCCTCCTAGCCACCAATGTCACTCCAACCAAAAAACACTGTTCATGATCTCCTGCTTCATCAACACCATCTCCGTTGGTAACTTCATGAATGCGAGTATGATGCACTCTTGGTCCCTTAATTAATGTCTCAAAAATCATCCTCATCAACATCATCCACGAGAATGTTCACGCCACTAGCTCCTTAATCTATTAAACACTTAATGAAAAACATAGATAAGGGTAAATTTGGAAGAAAAAATATTAATTATGCTTTGATTTCATTAAACGACAGATATTATGGAACAAAAAAATTATGTAAAACGACAAATATTTAGGAACGGAGGGAGTACTAGTCAAATAACATCTCAAAAGATTTTAGTGGTTCGCGAACAAAAACTTGTTTTTGGAACACAATCTAAACATGCCCTTAATTTGTTATTGAATCTTCATTCACAAAAGGCTTGGAACATTCTTCATTCACAAAAAAGCCAAGAAGAAAATCAAAGTGGTTAAACTATAAATCATACATACAGTTTAAAAAATAATAATCGCGTACTGCGGGACAATTTTTTCAATCAAAAATATATATATATATATTTTTGGGAGGGGGGAGGGGAGAGAGGGGGACTTGAACCAAAGCCTTGATAAGGTAAGGAGTGTCATTGAACCAAAGACCCGTTGAATTCAATCTAAAATATATAGTCTTGCTAATTTGCACCAACTTCGCCTGTCAATATTATGACTCATTAAGCAACGACTGCCATGATCCTTATCTTGAGTGAAATGATCAAAATATTATTTTTTAGTGAAATAAATGTCTGTCGGACTTTTTCGAATATGATGTGACTGCAAAGAACTAAAAACATTAGTACTTCATGGTGCGGTAGTGGTGCGGTAGTAAAATCTGCATCTTTATTGCTGGCATTTTTACCACTGAGATCCTCCTAGCCACCAATGTCACTCCAACCAAAAACACTGTTCATGATCTCCTTCTTCCTTACTCGCTCCTTTGGTCCCTTAATTAATGTCTCAAAAATCTTTATCATCAACATCATCCACGAGAATGTTCACGCCACTAGCTCCTTCCTTACTTGCTCTTGACTCATTTGAGCTTGGTTCACTTGTGCGAGCTCCACTTAACCTTTCTGTCCATATCGCCAAAAAGGAATTTGACCTAGTAAATCATCATCTTCAAATGAAATTAGTCCCTTCAAGATTGACATCTAGCATATATCAATTAGTCTAGCAATTTCACATGCAGAAATGCGATTGAATTCATTTCGATCTAAAGGCATTATACAATGTATTCATTGCTAGCATTTGTAGTGTTCAATTTCTTTTCATCATTTATCCATTCTTTCTTTGGTTTAGTGGATGCTACACATGATTCTTCAATTATGTTCCACAATGAATCATGTAAAGACATAATGTATATTAGTCATTTCTATTGAAAAATGGAGGTCTAGTAATAAATTGTCCTTCCATTATATTTCCTCCTAAGGTTGTCATGATCTTTTAACTCTAATATCATTACACATTATATACAATATCAGTTGTTGGCCCAAATACAACCTAAGAGGGCGGGTGAATTAGGTTTCTAATTTTTAAGTTTCCTATAATGATGAGTGAAGCTTTCACGTAATATGCAATTATAATGCTAATCGTTTATAGTATCAAAACAAAGAGAATAGAGATTTAAACGCAATTTATAAAGGTTCAACCCAACCAGCTTGACCTATGTCCTCTCTTCAACCTCCTCCTGGAAGATCTTTTCACCAACTTGATTATCTTAATGGGTGAGAGTTAAACCCTTATAATTTTCACCTTCATACAAATAAAAGTCTTCTACTTTAACTCATTTCAAGAAGAATTAATAAATAATACAAACTCTTTCTCAAAAGTTTCTCCCAATACAAGAATCTCACAAATCGCAAGAGAAAAAGAGAAAGAGAATAGAAAGTTCTATGGAATCACTTTTGTAAGTTCCAGTCAAATGAAGCACTATTTTTGTTTTTTTTTTGCTCAAATATCAAATACCAAAAAGTTGTGTTTCAAAGTCCCTTTAGCTACTATTCATACCTTCCCTTCATAAATGGTTTGAAGGATTAAATTTGAAAACCCGGGTACATCAAAATTTTGCTTAAACAAAAATAAAGTCAATAATAATTTCTTACTACAAAATGGCGAATAGATCGTCAATTTTATTTTCCACTTTGTCAAATACAAATTTTCTTTTAACTCGCTAGTCTTCGCATTAAGCCTCGTGATTGCTTTTTACACATAGATTAACCATATACATATTTAAATGAATCAAACCGTTTTTGATAGTAGGAATACTCCATTTCCTATACTGAATTCATAATTTAAACTTTTTTCTAAAAATTTATAAATAACTTAATAAATATAATAATAAAAATGAATAAAAACATCTTTTTTGTACAATAATTGATAAAAAAAAATTATATTTTATTCATATAATACTAATTAAACGTATTAATCGTGTCAATTTCTCGTTATTCGTATTTAATACAAACTGAACCCATTTTTTATTCGTATCTATAAGTTGTGTCATTTATAAAGTCATGTCAAAAAATGATTAATCGTGTCAAAAAAATGATCAATCTTAACTTATTAATTTATGTCAATTTTAAATAATCTTTTCATATTAGCATTAAAAATTATCACCCCTAACCTTTCGCATATGCACCTTGTCTTGGGTTGGGTTGGATTGGAGGTTTGGAAATTATTTCGTTCTTACAGTTGGTCAAATTCAGCATAAATAAGTTATAACATTAAAAAATTGAGCAGTCAACAGTCGATCATACCTCTGGCGTAAACTTAGAGACCATAATCAATGAACAGTTAGCACTGGCATCACAAGCCACATTGCTTACCACGTGGCTTATCTCAATCAAGATTCGCACCATTTCTACTCTATTAATTTTTCTTGTTCAACAGTCAAGATCAAAAACGCCTCGATCAATTTACACACACTAAAACTATTTTTTCCTTAATTTGATAAAAAAAAAATAGGTTATCTATGCCTAAATTAAAGTATTCATAAGAAATAAATCTCTCATAAATTAACCCCAAATAATTGTGAAAATTCAAATTCAAGACATTTAATTTTATAACTCGTCTATATTATCACTTAAATTAACTTTAGAATTACTTCTAGTCCATTATCAAACAGTCTTGACTCTACCTACTTTTTACCGCATTTCGAAGAGAATCAACAAGATAGCTGCAGCAGGTACATGATAGCCTTAACCTCAAAAAATGGTAATATCTACAAACGAGAGAACTAGCAGTAGGACCAACATATTTAATTGAAGACATTTAATTCGACTTTTAGTTTTTTTTTTCCAACTTTTCGAAAATAAAGTGTTATCAACAATATGTGGTACCATGATTTTCAAACACTAGCATCAAAATACCACCATTTCTAACAATAAGAACATATATTGCTGACAGAGAGAGAAGAGTTTGATTGTCTTGACTAGAAAAGGAATTCCGTGTCCGAAACTTCAAGGACTTTGTGGTCACCAATGGGGTTAACACCAGGCCGGAATGAATTTCCTTCGATATACCTGTTGACAGAATTCAATAAGTTTTTTGACATGGTAATGCAAAGGGCGATTTGCCACGGATGGAGTTGAAGAAAAAAAACTCACATTTCTTTCAAGAAAGGGTGCTTATAGAAGGCATCAGGAATCCTCCCAGTAAATTGATTGTGATCCAGGTACCTGAAACTCGGCCGTGTGAGAAGAAATTTCCCACTAAAAAATTGATGCCGAGGTATGCGCAGCAAGCATAACTTAAAAGTCCAACAATCCATGGAAGTTTTATTCTTAAAGTCCTCTTATCTATTTCCAACTAAAAAAGAAGCCAACAATTGGAATCCCATGCTGCAGAAGATTAGTAATCCCAGAAAAACACATGCTTTACAGTCTGAGATCAAAACAACAGTCATGTTGTAAAATAATGGCAATGCTGATATTATGAGAAATAAAATATTAAATCCACGTGCTAAGGTCAGCGTTTCAAGAAAACAACCAAGATATTGATGGCAATTAAGATGCAGGACAAGTTAAGTTCCATAGACCAAAAAATATGAGCACACTCATATCAATAAGAATCACGATTAGTTGTTTTCTCATATCAATAAAAGCTGAACTTCCTTAACTCTGGTACCATTAAACAGCATTTTAAACTAGCTTTTCAGCAATCCCGACTTGTAAATGCCGAAGAGAGTTTAAGTGAAATATAACAAGGCACTGCTATGAGGAAAATTGCTCATTCTGACAAGAAAAAAAAAGCATTATATGTCTTGGGTTTCTAGCGGGAAGAGGTGAAGTTTTGGACTCAGATTTGTAGCTTTTATAAAACAAGTTTTTAAAACTAAAAATCAGGTTTAATTCATTCATGTAGTTGTTGTATTTCATCCTTTTTGCTACCCGGGCAGCCCATTGAATACGATATATGACTAAGTGCATCATACAATAAGGTCAACTAACTTATAGATCTAGGAGTCTTTAGTTCTGCTAAATGATGTGTATCAGTTTACCACTAATAGAAAGATTTTTCACTCCCACCCGATACACATATTCCATAAAAACAAACATATTCAGTGGTACATAAACTAAACATAAGACTATGAACACAATTACAAATAGGTCAATCTGAGAATCCAACAAAGCCAAAAGAAATTCTGAGGTACATAATTCGTACATCCATAAAAGTAAACTTGAAGAAGTTGAAAACACACTTACAAGTTAGTTAATCTAGGGATATGAGCAAGCCCGTATGGTACTATTCCAGACATTTTGTTGTAGGAGAGATACCTGTTATCAACACAGCAATCAACTTGGTAAATTTTATGACAGCAGCAACCAACAGATCAAGCCAGAAGAGAACACCCTAACAATTTATGTATTAGGTACTTGAATGTGCAATACTTACAAGATTTCCAAATTTTTCAAGTTTGCCAGCTGTGCTGGAATTCCTCCAGTAAGATAATTATTGTTTAGATAACTGCACATTTTAGTTACAAGGAAAAAGAATACCTTAACAAACCACTTAATCATAACATTAGCAGCAAAATGTCATTGTAAGTCATCTAAAATCTTGCCAATTTATATTGACTTACAGGTTGCGAAGAGCTGGAAAGCATCCCTCAATACGTATCAGTTCCCTTATGGTTCCAACCAAATGGTTGTTGCCAACATCCCTACAAAATACATGGTATCACAATGAGATAATCTGGGACAAGAAACAAGCAGCATATTGTACAATGAATTGACTAAAGATGATAGATTGTTACAAGTGCCGAAGGTTTTGTAAAGTTCCCAATTCCGGTGGGATTCGTCCAATGAAACGGTTTTCATGTAGAAGGAGATAACGGAGCTCAGGAAGATTAGCAAGCTCCTTGGGGATCTCGCCTTTGAAATTGTTGAAACTCAGATAGCTGCAGAACTTTAAATTATTAGTCTATAGATGTACATAGTATGTACAATATGCTAAGAATTCCTAAGAGAATTAACTAAATTCAAAGATTGGACATTACTCACAGGTGTGTCAGTTGCTTTAGTTCACCTATTTCAGGAGGAATGGCATCTTGCAGCTTATTCCACCTCAAATTCCTGAGAAGAAAAGAGCAAAAATCAGCAACAGGACTAAATTTAAAAAGTAAAAGATGGGACAACATAGATTGAGATAATTCCTGGTTGAACCTCAACAATAATAGGCCGCCAATAAGGGAGGTGTTATTGAAAAGAAAAATAGAGATCACCAACATTATTTAACTAGGAAGTAAAGGAAGATACAGTGTTTTAAGACGCTTCAAACGCCCAATTTGAGGAGGAATTGGCCCGGTCAACTTGTTGTTATGGAGATCCCTGCCATGCAAAAGTCATAATATATATTTCAAAAATTGGAGAAATAATTTTTTTCTAAAACTTAACAGTATTAATCCAACTCTGACCTACTATTTACAGTGATGTAGAATGTTGCTCATTAGAACAAAAAGAAAACACATGGTGCAGTCAATTTTGCTACCGATTTAAGCATTGATTAGTGAAAATCTTTATGCAGTAAATTGTCACTTTGGGAAGCAACAAAGATAACGACTGCTTTGACTCAAAGAGCAATACAGAAAACACAAAGAAAAAGGCACAGAGTCTTACAGCCTTGTAAGATCCAACAAATTAGTAACAGCAGTAGGAAAAGGCCCGACAATTGACACAGCATAAACTTCCCTGCAAATAAACAAATAAAGTAAATGCAAAATAATACAAATCTCATATCACCTCAATGACTTCATAATTAGACGTCCTAACAACAAAGGGAATTGAACAGTGACGCAGCATTGCTCCTTGAACACATGAAATTAAAGTGTACAGTCACAAAGAATGTGAGTAGCGGAAAGGTAACACATACAGCTCTGTAACTACTCTATAATCACCCTGAGTGGAGCAAGTGACACCAGACCAAGGCGGTAAATCACCATCTCCACAAGGGTCATCTCCAACCCACGCATACACCACCCTCCATCCCAGGGACGCCTTTATTTCATTCAAAGCTTTCACTGCAAAAAGCAAAATTAGAACATCAACATCATCTTAAGACTCCAGTAAAATGCATTATGTATGAAGGGTTATCACACACACACACACACACACACACACACACGCACATATATATATATATATATATATATATATATATCCATGTAACGAAATTATACTTAAAGAAACCATTTGTGATGAACAATGATCACTGTGATTAAAGAACATGTTAAAACCTTGAACAGTCTAGCTAATTGTTTTCAGTTACTTCCCTTTTTTTACCTGTCTTTATTGCAGATCACTAATGCAGTTCATACATAGCATAATTATCGATCAAATATCCATGTTTGACCTTCAATCTAACCAATCAATAAGCTATATTGCATTAAAACACATTAATCATGGCTTAATTATAATTATTAACTCATCCTCAAATTCCACCGACACATCAAAATAAATGCCGAATCTTCGGGAAGTCAATTGTTTGGATAAAATTAACTAAAATTGTCCCGAAGAATTGTGAAAATTAAGAACAAACGTGCTTAATTAAGTAAGAAATTAGCTAACGAAAAAAATCTGTGTGATTATGAAATTAGATATGAATGGATCGAAGTGGAAGGAAAGAATTTGTACCGTCTCGTTTGAGGGTTTTACAGAGAACAGCGACGTTGAGAAGCGAGAGGAATATGAGGATCAGAGGAAATCCTGAAGATACTACACGACGACACGCCATTGAGTACACTACTGATCAGAGCTTGTGTGGTTTTGGGTTGAAGAAATGGTTTCTTTCAAGCTTGGACAATATAGGGCCTCTTCATATAGTCGTCATGGAGAGAGATCCAGATCACAGAGAGAGAGAGAGAGAGATCTCAGTGAGAAACAGAGAGATGAACCTCAAGCTTTCAGCGGTGGGACGACGCGTTAGATAGACCGCGGGGTCTGGGCTAAAGATCCTCTCTCCAGTACTCAAAACTTTTCGGATCCGGATCCTCCCATTTGTTGTTTACATTTTTGGTTAAACTAGGGTTAATTGGACATTCCAGAATGTGAAGTTTATTTTCTTGTCATCTTTAATATTTTAATTATATTATTTTAAATCCTTAAAATATTAAATATATTTTTATGTGGCCCTTATGCAAACAATGTCTAAATTGCTAATATTTTTTTATTATAAACTTATTATGTAATTCATAAATATAGGCAAAGAAAATAATTTGAATAACTTTTGATCAAATTTTTATCCAAATTTTAGTTAAAGAACTATTCAAATTACATAATTTAAATCAAGAACTATTTAAATTTTAATCGAGAACTACCTATATTACACATTTTTAGTCAAAAGTTATCAAAATTTTGATTAAAAACTACCCAAATTATTTTTTATTAATTTTTTTTTCTAACCGGTGAAAATGATGAAAGGACTTTGCTGATACAAAATTGATAGGTTAAAGGCTAAATTGAGATAATTAAAAGTTTAGGAACTATTTTAAAACAAAATGCAAAATTTAAGGATTAATTGTTATATTTACTCTTAATTTTTCGTTTATAGTAAAATCAAGGACAATGCTAGCCATGTGAGTTCATTTTTTTTTGGGATAATTATACCCAGACCCTTTAAGATGTGTCATTTAATCAGATAGATCCCCTCATATTTGACAAATTACACTGAAACCCATTAAAGTGTGTGTGTATTCTTGTCGAGATCCGTTAAACATTCCATTAAAATTTGATGAGATCAGTATCCTTTTATATAAAATCCCCAAATTATCTTATCACAATTTTAACAAAAATTCAATAAAAATTAATAATTTTTAATTTTCAATTAAAACCTCAATACCCAATGCCCAATACCCATTTCCACCAACGCCATCACCATCTCCATCACAGGTATGGTTTTCCTCCCTTCTCTTTGAAACACCCAAACCCAGATCTCAAAATCCCTGAAATCCCCTTAAATCTGAGAATTCATCAAACCTAACTGTGCGTGCAAGATCCTGCACAATATAAAAAATATTGGGAACAGATCTCTCCCCTGGTGAACTCTGAGTGAGCCGGTTGAGTGGCCAAACACGCTGCTTGACACAGCCTGCAAGGTACGGTGGCAACCTGGAACGGCAAAAGAGGATCCTGGGAAAGGAAGAACTATCCTGTATGTCTGAAAGGTTTTCCTGGAATAAAGAGGAAACAAGTTAGAAGGGTGCCGGAATATTTTCCGGCGTATCCCCTCCGACAGTCTAGTCAGTCTTTGAATGAGGGAGAAGAAGAAGAAAACACTGAGAAAGTCTGTATTGTAGTGGAGAGTTTTTGATTGCATACCCGCTTTGCCTTTTGGGAGGAGTATTTATACCTTAGAAGCTCATGATTGCTGTCACCGTGGTCAGTAGGTGATTATCAGGCACAGGTAGCGTGTGTATTGATTTGATGAGGAATGTCTTCTCTAATTGACTGCTCGGGGTCCCGAGCAATCAATGCTGAGTCGTCGGGACGCCGACGGTACAATATGCTCCTTTCGGGAAGGATGCAATAAATGCTCTGTAATAGGAGCATTTATTGCCTTTCATATCCGAACCTTACCGCATTGAATGCGGTCTCGTCAACAGAAGGGTGCAATTAATTGTTTGCTTTCCAAAGCGCATGTCAGCAACAGCATGCGGTTTGTCTGTTTTTGATGTGATATCATATGCCACGCGTTCATCACGTATTGGCTATGACTTCTGTATTCCAGCATGTTCTGACATTACTTGTGTAAGACGAGGTCATGATGAATAGTCTAGACTGGCATAGGCTGATGTCCCGTACGTCAGTAGCTTTACCTGGGAGTAGAGGAAGCGTCCAGGATGGAGTGACCCTCGGCACCGAGGAAAAGCTCACCTCGGGGACCGAGGGGTGGTATGTTTCCGAAGTACACGGTGACCGAGGACACGTGTTGTTGTATAATACACCGAATGCATGATCCTTTAAGGGGTACCTCGGGGGGAGAGGACGCTCTTCGCCGATGGTGCTTACATCCGGGCAACACTGTTTCCAAAAACCCGAGGACACGTGTCTTCATCTTAGGGCTTTTCAGAAGAGTCCCATCAACTGCCCCCCAGCCTTCGATCTTCTGACACCGAGGACACGCGTTGTAAGGAGACGAAGGGTTTTCCAACTGCCATCCGTCCTTCATTATGGCCTCGAGCAGCTTTCCCCGGCTTGGGACGTCGTGCGCATTAAATGCGCTATTTTGGTTCTCCCGCCCAATGATGACAATTTCCCCCTATATAAAGGGGGTTCTTCTCTGGTTTCCATCGTTTTGCCATTCCGATCTTTGTCCCAGAGTACGCATTTCCTGATCTTTTCGCCGGAGTTCTTGTTTCCTCTGCCATCGTCGACTGCTCTTTCTCTCAAAATCACAGAGCCAGTAAACCCATTGTTGACTCCTGGACTTTCCGGTGCGAGTCATTTTAAAGTTTTTCCTGAAAAACTCCGTTTTCGACGTTTCGGGTGAGTTTCACAACCTTCTTCTTTATCGTCCTCCTAGCCTTTTTGTTTTCCGATTGAACGGTGGTGTCATCCGGTCGGCACGTCTTGATTTAAACCCTCGGGGAACTTCCTCAGGTTTTCAAGAGTAAATACCTTTTTCTTCCTTTCCTTTTAGAGATGCCTCGTCGTCGCCCTGCTCCCGAGAATCCACCGGCTGGTCCCTCGGGGTCAGGGAAATACAAGGTGAAAGGCGAGGAGCAGATCGATAGGTTCAGGGTTAAGTACGGCATTCCCCCGAGTGTAGACGTAGTGGATTTTAACCCATTGTTGAACTCTCCTACTTCGGGGCCGCGGATGCCATGCCTTTCTATACCAAGGCCATCATAGAGGGTGGAATTAGGTTTCCTTTACCCCCCTGCTTCTTCAGTTCCTGTCTCGCTTTCGTCTCTTCCCCGGGCAATGCTGCCTCAACGTCTTTCGAATAATCATGGGGGTCTTAGAGCTCAATAGGCGCCTCGGGGTGAATATTGGGCTCAATGATCTCCTTTTCTGTTACTCCCTCCTAAGCGTCATGCCTCACCAACACTTCTACCTCAAAGCCAGGGACCCCTCCATGTACCTTGTAACCCATCTTCCTGATTCGGACAAGGGGTACAAGGACGACATCTTAATCTTCAAGGGATGTTGGGAGAGGGGTGTTGGTCCCGAGTACAATGACTTATTTTGCCCTCGGGAATGGAGAACGACAAGTACGTCGGTTCCTTCGGGTTCTTTATTTGTTTCTCGGGACTTCTCATGTTTATGACAATCTTTTTTGTTGTGCAGATATTCCTTCTCGGGAAACAGCTCCACCTCCTCGGTCGCTGGTGAACTTTGCCGACCTAACCACGGTTTGGAGTTTCACGGGTGCCGACGGGTTCGGCCGAGCTGCTCATAATCTGCTGTACTATACCCCCGGGTATAAGAAGTTTTCACAGCTTCCTCAACCTTTCGAGCCTTCGCAGTGGTCAGAGCTCTTCGATCAGGCGGCGAGGCTAGAGGTCGAGGAAAACTTGGAGGAAGACCCGGATCGGGCTTCAGAGGGAGAGGTAGAGGGAGTTGCTGAGGAGGTCGGGGTCAGAGAGGACGCTGTTCCTTCAGACGCCGAGGTGGGGACTCCGGGGGAGACTTGTGGCCAGACTTCCAGATCCTTCAATCTTTGGACGCCGAAGACGCTCTCGAGGAAGCGATGTCTAACGCCCCTCGCATTAATTTGGGGTTCCTTAGGCAGAGGCAAGCCCTCGCAGCCGGGAGAGGTCGAGGGACGACCGGTGGTACTGCGGGGACGAGTTCTGCCACTTCTTCGAGGGTTCTCGGTCGGGGTCAGGTGCGAGACCGGGATCCTCAGGTGGAAGAGGAGAGAAGGGTCAAGCATCGGCATGACGGCCTTAGCCGGGGACCCAGGGCACCTCCCGCTCAACATCAAAGCGGGAGGGATCGTGGATTACCCCCTGCTCCCCCACAACAGCAACAACAACAACAGCCCCGACAACAGCAACAACAACAGCAGCAACAGCAACAGCAGCAGCAACAACAGCAACAACAGCCGCAGCTACTTCCCTCCTGCCTACGGTGGAGGCCGCGGAGTGGAATCCCCGAGCCACTGATCACATGAACCGAGTGATCAGGGTCGACGATTCCATTCTGCAGGATCCTCATGTCGCCCATGCAGTGAGTGAGACACTGCATTTTGAGGCTGACATGGAGGCTCATCGGGGGCGATCAACCAACGTGTTGTTCCGCTCCATCATCCAGAACTCCCTGGTGGTGAGTTTATTTTTGCTTTGGTTCCTTTACTCCTGCATCCCCTTTCTGTGACTTAACACTTTTTCCTTCCTTTGCAGGCTACCCAGCAGATTTCTATCATTGCTGCTCGGTACCACTCGTCCAGGATGGACCTCCAGAGGGCCCGGGATCAGAAGGCGGAAGCGGAAGCGGCCCTTGCTCGGGCAACGGAAGACGTTGCTGCCAGGGATTCTACCCTGGTGGGGCAGGCTGCCCAAATAGAGCAGCTCCTCAAGGACGCCGAATCGGCCAAGGTGGGCGCTGAAAAACTAAGTGCCGCACTTGCCGATGCTGAGAGGAGGATTACTGAGCAAACGCAGCGGCTCTCTGCTGCGGAGGAGAGGGCAGTGGGCTCCGAGGAAAGCTGTCTGGCCCTTACCCAGGAGCTAGACAGGATCAGGGCCGAGGAGCTGAACCGGAAGTCGGAGGAACAACTCCTGGAGGAGTTTGCCGATGACGTCCTCCCCGCTCTTGAAGAAAATAGCAAAGAATTCTTCAAGAAAGGGTGGGACGAGGCGCTCCAGGCTGCTGGAGTCCCGTCAGACTCCCCTCTCTTCCAAGTGCACAAGTATGTGCCCTCGGCGGAGATGGCACAGGCAGAAGCACAGGTTGCTGCCGAGGATGAAGCCCCTACGCCGATGCAGATCTCGGCTGATGCTCCTGAGACGGTGATAG